CCAAGCCTAAGATCAATGCCCGCAGAGTACCATACAAGGCGGTGCGCCGCGGCGCTTTGGGCCAACAAACCGGCTGCCCGGCTCCCAGTGCCCGCGCCGGCTTGCTTATACCGGGCCATAATTGCCCTGCGCGCCATCCTACGACACCCCGTTCCCTGCACGAAATGGCGCCATCGCTGCCGATGCCGTCGCCGAGGTCGTTCTCCGTATGCGCGCAGGTCTCGATCAAACATACCACTAACCGAAAATACCCCCAATTCTCACTTAATCAAATATAAATAAGTATTAATAATATTAGTAGACAAAACGTCCGATATCCGGCCGGCTTTATGATCAAACGCGGAAAAAAAAACACGCGCGCCTTAAACCTGCGCGCCCACGCACTCTTTACTCTAGTCAACCATCCCGTCAACGTAACTCACAGACGCGGCCGCGCCTAGCGTGGTATACTCAGACTTTATACCAAACTATTTTCTGCCGCTTGCAAAAAAAACAGGGCGGATACCCTTGTAAGGGTATTCGCGCCGACAGCGGTACCAGCGCCACGTCAGCTTGTTGCCAACGAAGCTCTTGTAAGTCTTCAATGCAGGGCACACGGCAACCACAGACAATCAACAGGTCAGTAGAGAGCCAACACATCCACACCATCAATGGTTAGCCTCTTCTCTACCATCTGCAGAAGCAATGCAATCATCAACAACAAGTGTACACTCGCACCCTCAACAGCCTGTGTGCATGCCAACGCAGCAGTACTGCCACGTCAGCATCAAGGACCGGGACGGTCTACAAGGAGGGATGCCACGTTGCAATGCAGGTCTGCTACACACTCAACACTGGTATGCCACGTCATGCAGCATCCGCAGGCAACAACGACACAGGTACGTGCCACATCAGATCATGCCCTGCATTCCATCATATGCCGCATCAGCGGTACCAGCGCCACGTCAGCTTGTTGCCAACGAAGCTCTTGTAAGTCTTCAATGCAGCCACGTCATCATCTTCAAGGGACAGCTGCTCGCACGTGCAATACTACAATGTCTAGACCTGCGGTATTACCGCGCACGTTAATAAACGCGTTTCATTTTGCACATGCGGCACTTCCCACTTACCTGGGTGCCACATCAGCACCTGACAGCAGACAACAGATTGCAATGAAGAAGTTTGCTCCGATACCAAATTGTAATGAACCCAGTCTAATAGATACTCAGAAGTCGTCAAACACAAGTAGTTTCAGTACCTGCAACATTCTCCAAATCGTGAAGTGATAAATCAAACAATAACTCATTATCATTAGACGAAGAGAGTGGAGGGGGATCAAACAGAGGAGAAGGTGGAAGAGATGATAAAAGATCACAGAAGAGTAATCCCGTCAAACCCCTCTCCTTCTCCGGGCTTCTTCCCTCTCCACCTCAACAACCAGAAGATAATAACAAGTATAGTAGTCCTGATCACACACAGTAGTGTCACGTGGCACTCCTACTCTGTGAAGACCATGAAGACACAGCAGATTCCAGTGACGACGTCAATCCTCAGGTGAGTACCCAATCTCTCTCATACACCGATCCCAATCTTCCTCCTCCTCGCAACCAGTCACCTCTTGTAGACAGCGTGGAGAATGCCACATCAGCAATCGAGACAGGTGGCATGTGCCACATCATCATGCAATGTAGACCAGAGGCAGCGCCACATCATCATGCAGTGTAGACCAGAGGCAGCGCCACATCATCATGCAATGTAGACCAGAGGCAGTGCCACATCCTCATGCAATGTAGACCAGAGGCAGCACCACATAGGTAGTGCCACATCAGCATGAAATGTAGACTAGCGGTAGCGCCACGTCAGCAATGTAATCCAGAGGTAGCGCCACATCAGCATGCATTGTAGACCAGAGGTAGCGCCACGTCAGCATGCGATGTAGACCAGAGGCAGCACCACATCATCATGCCACCTCAGCAAGCCTGGCGCACAATGCAGGAAGCGCCAGCATGCTGACTTCACCTCACGCCGTCGTCCGCATTGCCAGAGCACAGCCGGCATCTAGCCAGCGTCGAGCTAGCATAATGCCAGCGTCTAGCCAAAGTCGAGCCAGCATCAAAGCGGCATAGCAAGACTGAATACTTGACTCACTCGAGGCCAGCCTTAAGTAACAGTTGTCGAGGCTGTCTGTCCTCAGGTGCTTTTCCCACAGTCGTCCAGATTGACTCTCACAGCTGAGGGCCCGGATTGTACAGTTGCAGACTTCTCCCTTGGACCTGATGCTGTCTGGGTACCTGCATACAAACAAGTGTGTGTGCTTGACCAGTGGCCTGGGCTAGGTACCTTTAGACTTTGACTGTTGGGGTCACAACAGTTGACCAAAGTCAACTGTCACACGTCCAGGCCCTGAGTCTTTGTTTGGGGTCCTTTTTGCCCCGTTTCGGCCTGGACTGAGGGCGGCCAAGTTGGCCCTCAGTCTTTCCACGAGACATATGACATGGGTTATTGCACAATGTCCAAATCCACCCATTACTGCCAGTCACTCCAGAAGTCACCATAGCCATCTCATATGTCCTTCTCCTACTTGGTCGAGCAGGTGGGTAGCCGACGTTCAAAGGACAACGCAAGAATACAATGTCCCTCCTACTATAGCCGCCATGCGTATTGCCACCCCGGAGTCTTCCTTGTAGGTGCCCACCCCAACTGGGGCCTTCCAGGTGCAGTGCCAACCAAGAAGATGAAGATGCAGACCACCATGGCCAGGTAAGCTCTCCCGTCACTCTCTTCCTTGCTCACCATCTTCCTCCTACTACTACTACTCCCCCGGAGTCTCCTTGGTCCCACCACAGCTGAGGTGAAGAGCCGAGCTCTCGCTCCAGCATCTGGTTGCCAAACTTGCACCACTGCAAATGAGGCAGGGCAGTTCACCTCCTGGTAAGATATAGCAGCGAGATGCCTCCTCTGGCGGTTGCTTCGAGGCCGCACAGCCTCGAAGTCTACCCGATACCTCCTACTTTCAGAGGGAAACATCATATGCCATCCTGCAGGCTCTAGACTCAGGCTACTTGGACCGGTACCTTTTTCTCTAAGCCTACCGGACTCCAATTTGGCCTTCGCGGATCTTTCCTATGCTACTACCCCACTGTGCCCTCACAATGACACGGGCACAGGTAAGTAAGTACCAGGCCCGTGGACCTTCCCAGCGGGTCACACACACCCATGCAATCATGCAGACAGGCAAACACACAGGAACTGAGCAATCACGCACACACACAAAGAAATCTCAGCAGAATACGGGAATCTCAGCAAGTCACTCAATAAGCCGGCAAAACTCAGAAAGCAGCAGGACCAGAGCAGGTTTCTCAGTCTGTGACTCGGCAGGTCATTACATTTCTTTCTTTTCATAATCCCAAGCCGCTTAAGTTATCGAACCCCTCAGGACGTGACCACCTCCAGAAGACAGCTACACCTTGGAGTTCAATCTTAAAACTTAATTTAGGTACCAGAGGAGAAGGACATGTCTTTCAGCTTGATTCTTCTCCTCCCCCCCCCACCCCCCAATAAAACAGGTCCTTATGGCCCTGGCTCCATTTCCATTCTGGGGAGCATCAGTCCGGTTCCTGTTCCCAACCGGCAAGCCCGAACAAAGCATTACATCATGAAACACACTCACGCTTCCTTCCGCCTGTCCAAAGGAAGGCTGACCAGCATTGATTACTCCAGCATCGTGGAGGATTGACCGTCAATTTGCCTTACTTCCACCTTTCCTCTCAGGTCCACTGCATGAACCTGTCAGATAAATGGTAAAGAGCAAGAAAGGTAAAAGAAGCTACGGAAGATGAATCTTGGAATTTTCCCTTCAATATTACGTGGCCTGTGATGGATCTTGTTCGTCTGCTGGCTGGGATCCCTGCCTTTTCCACCCTGCTTCTGAGTTGTGCCAGTCTTTCCACCGTAAACGAAAGTCGCTTATCTCTACTACTTTGCCTCCTGCGAGCCACACCTTAGTGAATTTTGCCTTGATTCTTCTCTGTTGCTCCTCGTCATCTGGCATAGACTGTCTCATCTTATGCCACTTACAAGGAATCTCTTCCTGAATCAAGGTCCTTGTCTCCGCCCATCCGATCATTCCGAACCACATTTTCTCTGTCTTGTGGAATTGAGCTGGGATGTTAGTCCATAGAAGGAGTTGTATGTGGTGTTCAGGGAGGGGGGTCGAGAAGAGGGAATTCCAGAGATCCAAGGCCGGGGGTGTTCAGGGAGGGGAGTCGAGAAGAGGGAATCCCAGAGATCCAAGGCCCTCGCTCAATATTCCGTCACCTCTCTACAGCGTATCAGGCAATGTAGCATATCTTCTGGTTCATTTTCTGAACATACAGCGCATAAATCTGAACTGTTTGGGTCATTCTTGCTTCTTCTGATATGCAGCCGCTGGTTAACCGCTAGAGCCACGTATGAGATGAGCCATAGGAGGCTTCTCATTTTGACCGGACGGATTGACCTGATTTTTTTCCATTCAGTCTTCCGCTGTGCTATCATTGCTCCATCTTTGAGAGGTCGGTTCTTGGTTCTTGTCTGCCCCATTTGGCATGCGACAAAGGCTGACTGTCGTCAAACACATGAAAACAACAACTTGCATGCGCTATGCTTTCATAATTCTCACGATGCCAAGCATGTGAATCACATGCTTGCCGAATTTCAGGTGGGCCATCTGTGTGTGTGTGTGTGTGTGTGTGTGTGTGTGTGTGTGTG